AAGAAGAGAAAAATGGAAAAAGTATAGGGATGACAGTTTGCTAAAGAGAGGAAATAAGCGTGACAAATATCATTTTGAACTCAAGTGATTACTTTGGGATTTGTTGCTGGCCAAAAAAAAAAAGTCCTATATTCATTTGTCCTCTTTTTCATATGTTGGAATGTGTTGCCTTGTCAAAAAATGTATCCTCTATCCTTATCTTCTTCCTTCATACATCAATTAAGTGTTAGCTCTCATTTTGAATTTTTTTGTATTTGATTTTTTCGAGTTTTTTAATATAAAACGATTTTTTGTCATCTCTGTCCATATGTTTGAATTTTGAATTTTATAAATACTAGTGTATTGTATAAATTATATATTTATTAGACTTTACTTGCCTCTAATATTCAATTCACTTATATCAACTTATATTAGTTATATAGTAACTATTTAATTTAGTTTTAACTTTTTACTTAGTTTAGAAAAGAATTTTTCGCATTTTTATCTCATGAGTATTGTGAATGAGAGTTTGAGAGTTTGAGAATTGAGCGTTTGAAATAGGAAGAATTAACACACTTTGAGAGTTTGAGAGACAGAGAGAGTTGAGATGAAGAGAACTCAAAAAAACTAAGAGATCAGAGAATGAGGAGGGGAGAAGATCAAGAATAGAAAGAACTAGGGATCATATGACGTCACACACACATGGGTTTGCGCTCATATGAAACCACCCTCCCCAATTAAAACTAAGGACAAATCTTAGTCATAGAAAATAAGTGATCAACGACTATGATTAAAAGTAAACACTCTAAATTAATGTGAATAATCACCAATCCAGTCCCCACTAATATCAATTAAGGGACAAATCAATCCAAGCAAAATTTTAAACTTTCACCCAATAGGTAACTCAACAATAAAATAAGAGTTCATATATTATTAAATAATCTTTTAATTTAAATAATAAATTATTGTTATTATTATTAAATATAAGAAAATTTGATTTTTTTTTTGTTAATGTAAAGTGCTTTAATTTAGCGGGATAAACACATGGTGTTGTTTTCTGCTTTGGCCAGTGTGTGCACCATAAAATGTCGCCAAAATCGATAAAAAGTGAATAATGATTAATTAATTATAAATTTAGTGATAATACATTTTAAGAGTGAGAGAAAATTATATAGATTGAAATAGTATACTCCGTATATTGGTATTTTTTCAAAAAAAAAATAAAAATAAAAAGAAATAAGGGTCAAATAGACCACTTTATTGCACATTAAATTACAATTGGATTATCGAACTAAAAAACAATACAATTGGGTCCTTAAATAACGCAAACTCATGCAATTCAACCTAAAATGACCTGCTTACCTGAAAGCATGCTGATGTGACGGTTACTAATTTTAAAAATAATCTTTTAAATAAAATAATTATTTAAAATTAAAATTTTAAAAATAAATAAATAAAAAATAAAAAAAATCCTTCGTCGGCGGAGACGAAGGGGCCGAGGTCTCACTAGCCATGGAAACGGCCAGAGACGAAGCCACCTTTGTCTCCTGGCCATGGAGATGAAGGGCCCGACTTCGTCTCGGCCCGTCTACACGACTGGAAATGATGGTGGCTTCGTCTCCCAGCTCGGAGACAAAGGTGGCTTCGTCTCCGCCGTTTCCATGGCCAGTGAGATCTCGATACCCTTTCGTCTCCGTGTATTTTTTTAATTTTAATTTTAATTTTAAATAATTATTTTATTTAAAATTATTTTTAAAATCGACAATCGCAACGTTAGCGTGTTTTAAGATAAACATGTCATTTTGGATTGAATTGAATGACTTTAATGTTGCTCAGGACAAATTGGGAAGTGTTTCAAAAAAAAAAAAAGGATAAATGTAAATGAGGAAGAGATCTTCGCATTTCCTTGTTCAGGAACGCTCCCTTAGAGCGCGTGCTTTTCCATCACCGCCGCCTTGAGTAAAATATTCAAAACATATTCGAAATATCAATGGGAGTCGCTCATTATAAAAAGGGGATCATTTGCCATGGAGAACCCATTCTCCTCCAAAGAAGAAAAGGGAGCCGTAGAGGCGTAGTCGCAAAGAAACTTTGAATCTCAAAACCCTAATCCTAAACTCTACTGTACGATCGAAATTTTAAACATTTTTTTTTTCAAAATAAAAATAAAAATTCTGGGAATTGCACAATGTCTGCGATAGTCTGTGGGAAGAGATCTTTCTTCGACGACATTCCATCGTCGCCGACGTCCGCCTCACCTCCGATTTCCAAGAAGATACGCCGCTCTTCCTCCACTTCTCCGGTTCGGTTCTCGGTTGCGCCGTCGCCGACGAGCCTATTTGATCAGCTCCGAGCCCAGTTTCCTGATATGGATTGTCAGGTAAGGCTTCTACAATTGTATGCGTTTAAGAATTTAAATCTTGATTCTGGAATTTAACTTATATTTTTATGCTTGTAAACAATTACTCCGTATTAAGCCTGCACCCTCCCAATTGCATAATTCTCCACAGATTAAGAATAATAAATGGATGGATTCTAATTCTTGATGTCTCCTTTTAATAATTGAGGAATATTGTCTTTAGCATTTGTGCCCTGAAAATTTAAAGTTTGGTGTCTAGGAAATGTGTCTTGTGCATATTTGGGGATACTTTTTTGCTGTAGACTTCATATGACATATTTGTATACAAGCAGATGCAGAATATTCGAAAAACACTTTTGTTGGAATATTATCTCCTTATAACTTTTAATCCTCCATTTCTTGTAGCCTATAAATGCCTGTCTTCATTCATTTTTGACTTCTATGTATTGAATTCAAATAGAATGATGCAAATTACTTGCTTTTTCTACTGTATTTTTCAGCTTATTGAGAAAGCTTTAGAAGAATGCGGGTATAACTTGGATGCTGCTATTAAGAGCTTGAATGAGATGCAGCTTGGACGGGCAGTTGAAACAAACACAAATATGCAGAATGGTTTGTGTTCACGCTTACCACTAATCTCTCTGCACATTTATTTGGGATTGTTTGCATCTGTTCATTAAATTGATACCAACAACATTTCTTGTAAATCAATGTTCATTTCTAGATCATATCCTACTTAGCTAATCTAATTGCTGTCCTTTATAGTTGGGTTTCAACAAAACATATTATGTTTCCTGACCAATTGCAATCCCTAGAGTAGCAGAGTATGTGCATTTGTCCACACACTGATCTAGCTTATTATGAACGAAGGATTGTTTAACCCTGAAGGCATGGCCACCTATTCTATCCTGTTCACTTTTTCAGATTTTTGTTTAGATTTATCTGCATGAACCTCTCCCACCTCTGTAAATGTCATGAATTTTGTGTGGACCTATGGGGTCAATGTAACAATTCGATACCAATAACAGTGCTCTCTTTTATTAATCTTGTTAAACAGAAAAGAACCATAGTATGTTTAACAATATGATGCCAATAAAAGTGTACATTGATAAAATTTATCTATCAATGGGGATATATTATGCTGTCAAAGGAAATTTTTCCCACCATCGCCTATGACACATGCCTTATGAATGCTATAGTTTGGAAAATTTATCTGAAAAGTTTGTAATTTAGACAGAACACGAAAGAATAGTTTCAATCTGACTAAAAAAGAAACTTTGGTTCTCACATTTGTGTCATTGTTCATGCCATGTTTTGGTGTATTCTTGCTATGCCTCAGAAAGGATTAAAATGAAAAATTGTGACTCCTATAGGCTTGTGTGTGGTAATGTTGGGTGTATAAGTGCATTTTACATTCAGCACCCAAAATGAAATGCTTGTGCCATATTGGTTTTGGTGCTGGAGTGGCATGTAATTTCAGAAGTTAGTTTCAGTATGCTTGAAATTCTTTGATTTTCCCATTCCCAAATCCCAATGAAGAACTTGATGCAAATTAGACTTATGTTATTTTCTCCGTTGTGTTTGTGGGTATGGGTGTGACTTTTTACAGGAGGCTGTTTTAAATCATATGTTGTTTAGGGCTTATGGTTTTGTTTTCGTTTTTGATTAATTTTCCATCTTCATACGATATTGTTGGAATGACAGTGCCTAGGGAAGATCCTACACTCCAATGCAATCTTCCAGTTGATGGTTCAGGGTGGGTGGAATTGCTTTTGAAGGAAATGATGGGGGCTGCAAGCATAGATGATGCTAGAGCTCGTGCTTCAAGAGTGTTAGAGAGTTTAGAAAAATCCATTAGCTTGCGTGCAGGTGCAGAATCAACTCAAAATATTCAGAAGGTTGGTATCATTGAGTTATAAACTAAGCAGCTAAACTAGAGGAGTATATGAGCATAACACTCAGATATTGAACTCTCAAGACTTGGGAATACACCTCATTGAAGTAGATATAATGAAGCCCTAAGCTTGTGAATCATGATGTGATTTTTCCTGCTTTTTAACAATTCTCAATTTGTTTTCAGGAAAATATGATGCTGAAAGAGCAGGTTGAAGCACTTATTCGAGATAATACCGTTCTGAAACGTGCTGTGGCCATTCAGCACGAACGCCAAAAAGAACACGATGATAAAAGTCAGGAGGTTCAGCATTTGAAGCAGCTGGTTTCTCAATATCAGCAGCAACTGAGTAGTCTTGAGGTAAAAAATTAGACCTTTATCAGCATTATTACTAGCACTTATCCTCCTGTATGTGCTGATTTCTATGCCGTTTGTGCAGGTGAACAATTACGCACTGAAGATGCATTTGATGCAGGCTCAGCAAGGCAACGCCATCCCTGGGCGCTTCAATCCAGATGTGTTTTAAGTTTTAACACAGATGGAACCTAGAATGAGAACTAAGCAATCAATGCTGGCACATGCATAGCTCTCTCTTATAGAGTGTGTCTGAAAGATAAAATTATAATGTTTTTGTTTGATTTGTGTCTTCAACATAGCTTATAAGTTGTGGCTGTTTTTTTTTTTTGTTTCTTTTGGTTCATGATCCTAAAGGCTAAATGTGATTATCTTATATGCAAACACTACCCTTGTAGCCTCCATAACTTTTCTTGTCATAGAAGTTGGAATTTTGAAGTCTTAATCTTGTGATTGCTGTTTTTACCCAAGCAGAAAGTTACACTTCCTGACTTCCTTACAGAAACAGAGCCAAAACTTTTCCAACATAGTTTGGCCTGTTGATAACATTAGCCAAGTTAATAATATTAGTCAATTGTAGAAAGAAGTTTGATAAATTAACATCATTAGCTAATTAGCTAATTACATGCAAAATGACTTTTTCAAAAAATTTATCACTTTGAACAGTTTTTTTGAATTTTAACATTTTGGAACAATAATTTATTATAAAAAGTTAATCAATCAAACACTTATATTGACTTTTAACCCAGTTAAACAAATTAAAATTTGCTGATAAGCTATGTTACCAAACAGAAACAATATACTTCTGCTGTAGTTTCTTCTTCTTCTTCAATCTACTCGACTCTGCTTGATGAGTAGCACAACAGCAACAAGAACAGGAGCAGTTATGATGGCGATTGCTTCAATCAAATTAGGTTTTGTTACCTCTGGGAATATTACGCTTCCATACTTGATTGCAGCTGCACCCGCCACCGACCCGGCTCCCAATTTCACCAAATACACCAAATCCTCCTGATTAATTTACCAACCATGAAATAATTATAATTAATCACTCAGAAGTCACCAACCTCGAATTCGAGTAAAATGCAAATTGTGTGTGCAGCTTTGTAACCTGGGGAACGAAGGGGAGGTTTCGGCCATCTGAGTTGGGAGTTGGAGCTTCTCTTTTCGGGTCGGAGGCTCGGGTGATGCCGAACGACGTCGCTCTAGAGACTCTTGAGACGCGAAAGCCGATTTTGTTAGCAGCGGTGGCCGGTGAGAATATTGCAAGGGGTTTCGTGGCATTCGGTGGTGGTGCAACCGCCATAGCCATATCTGAATTACCTCTCAAGTTGAAGACGCACCACACGTCACTCTGCAGCCTGCAGGCCAACAATGCCAAATTTGCACAAAACTACACGCTAACATTTTAGGGAATTTTAGGAGGCGTTTGGTTGGATGTAATTTGGTTATAATTGAATTGCAATTCAATGAAAGTCTTAATTGAATTGCAATTCAATGAAAGTCTGAATTACAATGTTTGGTTGGAGGGAATTGTAATTTCCTCTTTTTGTTGAATTGTAATTTATGAGATACCCTATGAATTGCAATTTAATGTATGTAGAGAAGGAAAATATGAAAGAAATGACAAAAGTACCTTTTATTAATTGTTATTAGTATTATTATACAAGGACATTTTAGTCTTTATACAATTTTTTCCTCCTCGTCCCTAATAATTTTATTACACTATACCAAAGAATGTAATTTGAATTCCTACGTTATTCCTACCTTATTCTTTTCCCATCGAATTACAATTTTTTTCCTTCCTCCAAACCAAACACCCCCTTAGTCTTTTACCATGAATTATACTGAGTAATTTTTTATTTTTTTATAACAAAAATTAAGCTCATACAATACTTATTATTATTATAACCCCCTCCAGTGTTTCAACTAGTTACTAATATGATGCTTGTCCCGCTTCACCATCTTGATACGTCCACGTGGAAACTCCAACACCAACTCAACATCCCGCTCATTGACCAACACAGATCTCCCGCCACCCAGGTCAAATGTCCTACTCTGCCCATCAAAATTACTTAACAACCAATGCAAAAGACGAGAAGGACACTCAGACACCTTGAAATCCAGCAATGCCTCGAAACCCAAACTTGTAATATCATCCTTCTGCTGCACCGACAAGTCCACAAGCGCATCAACAAGAGCCGCGGACTGCGCTCGAAACTTAACACTAGGCAAATCTAATTCCTCTTCAGACGCCTCCCCACCACCAGACCCCCCAGGCGAAGCATCAACCTCAGGAACAACATCGGGGGCATTCCACAACGGGTCTTGTTCCAATCTCGCTAAAAAAGTCAAGGGCGGTGAAACAAAATCATCATCACTCACCGAACACAAAGCCCCACTAGGAGCACCCTGCACACCCTTCAACTTCTTGCCTAACAAAGAAAAATAAACAAAATCACACACGCACGTAACTGAATACCAGACGAGCACACAAAAAATGAAAATAATGCACACATCTACAAACAAAGCCACACACCACCACCCAATTAAAATACCTTTGATCTCCACTGCTTCCAATCTCTCACTGGTATTTTCTTTCTCATCACTTTTTCCTAGAAAACTAATAATGGGTTTTCATTTTCTGTGTTTTGTGGCACTTGTGCCCTTCTTTAATTTGAGTGAAATTTTAAAGGGAATGGTGTATAATTTGATTTAGGCTTCAAGAATGCCAATAGTATATAGACAAATAAATTATAAATAAATCCAGATATACATGGATGAATCTGTTTTGATTTCTTGATGTTTATTTATATTGCAGAAAACCGAAAAACAAAGAAAAACAAATATACACAAAGATTGTGGTTTAAGTGAACCATAAGCAGTGTTACCAAAAAAAAAAAAAAAAAAAAAAAAAAAAAAAACAAGCCCCTCCCATCCCCGGCACCATCCACCACCATGCACAGCCGAAAATGCCCCCAAAACTGCCACTACACCCCCCGCGTCAGCCCCCGGAAATAGAACCCCCACCCCCCGACTCCCCAAAATTTTTTTTTAAAAAAAAAAACACAATAACCCGAACCCAAACCACCGCCGTGCCCACCAGAAAACGACAGAACACCAGACACCTACCCACGTCCCAGAAAACAACACCACCAAAAAACCCTAGCTACCCAATCCGGCCAAAAAACCATCAATACCCACTCCCGACCCAGTCCAACACAGCTACCACCCACCAAACAACAAAACCCCACCGGTTAAACAACAAAAACGGAAGAAAAACACAAAAAAAAAAAAAATACAAAAGGGAAACCAACAAACCTCGCCCGACAACCGGTGGTCCCCCCTCTTCAGTGTGCCGCGGTTTCCCCCGACAACCATGGCTACGTGGAATGGACGAACAGAGACACAAGCTCGTGGAAGAAGCGCGTGTTGCGGATTACGTTCAACACCCTACGCACGATCGGAGAAGAATCAGAAGCAAGGGGGAAAACGTGCGCGTGAAATAAGATACCTAATCTGACTAGGTTTTAATGACTAGCAAAATACCCAAACTAACCCCCTTAACATAAAAACACACTAAATTAAACACTAACCCTACGCGAGAATCACAACCATCCAATAGCAAAATTGAATGGCCAAGATTAGTCCACATGTTTGTACTTTAAGATGTGTTTTCACCTGAATGTAATTATATATATATATATATATATATATATATATATATATTTATTTATTTATTTATTTATTTATTTATTTATTTATTGGTCCACACAACTTTGATTGATATAACCTTGATAAGAAGAATTTGCTGACCTTTTTGTATAGGCAAGTGCAATGTAGGTAGAGAGACAGACTACAAGATTAGCAAGTGAAATGTTATCAAAAAAATGCAATCGTTATACCGTGCACCAGCGCGCACATAGCACTATGTGCCCTGCGTCTCCCAAAACGAAGTCGTTTTGTTAAGTTGTTAAAAAAAATTCATATTTCAAATGCACATAAACTCATAACAGAATACACATAATCTAACATAATACATAATACACATAAACTCATAACACAATACACATAACTTTTAACTGAATACACATAATGGGTTTGGTTAACATAATACACATAAACTCTTAACTGAATACACATAAACTCATAACACAATACACATAAAATTTTAACTGAATACACATAATGAGATTTGGTCTGTTCGGATGGACGAAGTGACATCAGCATGAAAGGCGCGCGTTTTGTGCCTGGGCGCACATTGCTACGTGAGGCTGGTCCACGATATAAATTTCCAAAAAAAAAAAATGTGAAATGAGGCGTGAGAAATATTTGGGCTTATGGGCTGCATTGGCCATAATTTGGGCTAAACGCTAAACAGAAATTCTTCAATCGAATTCTCTTATACTCGCCACGGGATTGGGATAGCGTAGTGCAGTTTAATTAATTGGCAGGGCGCCGGAGGCTGGAGATATTGTGAGTCGGAGGAGGTCGCATCCTGATCGCCGGCGCCGGGGACATAAATTTCTCTCTCTCTCTCTCTCTCTCTCTCTCTCTCTCTCTCTCTCTCTCTCTTATCATCCTCGGATTCTGAATTTCAGCATTCGTCAATCAAGATGGTGTTGGCGCAGCTAGGAGGGAGCATTTCGCGTGCTCTCCAGCAGATGAGCAATGCCACCATCATCGACGAGAAGGTTCTCAACGATTGCCTCAACGAGATCACTCGCGCTCTTCTGCAGGCCGATGTTCAGTTCAAGCTGGTCCGCGATATGCAGACCAACATCAAGCGGATCGTCAACCTTGACGACCTCGCCGCCGGACACAACAAGCGTAAGATCATCCAACAGGTCCGTTACTTACTTCTTCCTCCACTTCTGCATAAACTTTGAATGTCATTTATTGCTTTCTGAATGTGTCCATCATAACATTAGCTGCTTTGAAATTCATTTTTTCCCTTAAATAATGTGAGGATTTGAGGACTTAGGAGTGAATTTAACATAACCATTTCCCTATTCATCAGGAATTTGTGGATACTTTTGTAAAGGATAAAGTGGAAAATATTCTGTAAGAGAAAAGGATAAAACGTAAGCTAAGGTTTTCTTGGTTGGTTGTGTCTTGTGTGTAGTGTGTTTTTGGTTTTGAGAGTGATTGTTTGGTGTAATTGTAAATTTTGTTTTCCTGATGGTAATAGCTAGTATGTATGATTCATTAAAGCAACTTGCTGATTCCATTGCTCAGCGTCCCAATGGAAACTAAGTTCTCGTTTTGCTGTGCTTGGACTATGAAACAAAGAAGACTGGCAGAATGTAAAAATGAGAGATGATGAAGAGATGGGGAGATCGATCATTTGAACTATAATATAGCAGCAAATAGTCTCCACAGCAAGTTCTTGGCTGCAAGTGCTTGTTTGATGTGGTAGTCAGTCCCTTAAGTCAATTTTTACTGTCAAGTGAACTACCAAAATGTCATGATAGTTGAAAAGATAGCTATATGGAAAGTCTTTAAGTGTATAATACATTCCTCTTGAACATGTGTCTGACAAAATAATAGGAATCTGATAAATGCATGATTCAGCTTTATTTGTAGTTTCAAGTGTAACCAACATGGCCAGATGTAAATGTAAGAAAACTGGCTGCTTTTATGTTTCTATTGTATATTACAAACAAGAGTTGATGTTCCTCATAGCTGCTGCTTCCTGATGAAGGTCTTACATGGTTACATGTCAATTTTTGTTTGCATGCTCTACAGTGATGCTGTTTCTTAATTGTTTTAGGCTGTATTTAATGAGCTTTGCAAGATTTTGGATCCTGGAAAACCATCGTTCACACCAAAGAAAGGGAAGACTAGTGTTGTCATGTTTGTAGGTTTGCAAGGCAAGTAATCACTTTCCATTTGGGGCTAATAGTTTTTTCTATTTTGCAAGGGAAATAATCTTTGGAATTTTTCAGAACTCTTATGAGCTAGGATGAGCACAGGATATGTGTGCCATGTCATTTGTCTTAATGTTGAATTTATCAAATGAATAGCCTCATTTTCCCCCCTTCCCTTTTTCCCTCTTACTATTTTGGATTTTATTATGTCACAGGTTCTGGGAAAACAACAACATGTACAAAATATGCCTACTACCACCAAAGGAAGGGCTGGAAACCGGCTCTAGTTTGTGCGGATACATTCAGAGCTGGTGCTTTTGATCAATTGAAGCAGAATGCAACCAAAGCTAAAATACCTTTTTATGGGAGGTGTATATTTTTTCAATGAAACTATTATTTTTCTATTTTCCAAAATTATGATTTTCTTTCTTGAAAATTCTAGAAGCTCAAAGGAGCTGTCTGTTGAAATGATTCTTCCATCTAAATCATGGGGCATAACTCTATTCTTAATCTAGTTAAATGCTGGATGTTCTTAACAGCACGCTTTGATTAAGATGTTTTGGCAAAGATGTGATTTTGGACTCAAAGTCGTGACAGAATAAGCAGGCTACCTATTTTATGTGGAAAGTATATTATTTAAGAGGCAGGATCAACTGAAAAATTATTTAGTTATTTGTTTCATAGGCTACGTATTTTATATGGGAAGTATATCATTAAAGAGGCTGGATAGTCTCAAAGCTTATTTTTCTCAAAAATGAAAACTGATTTAAACTTTCTTTTCCATGGGGTTGCCAAATGAGTAGATTTAAGAGCAACTAAGACTACATACTTATCTGGCAAACATATGGTACAGAATCTGGGTCATCGTTACACCACGCGCCATCTATATACATATTCTGTATTAGTATTTTCCTGGAACAATTGGTTTCTTGTCATTTAATGTACATGTTATATTTCTGCAACAGCTACACAGAGTCTGACCCTGTAAAGATAGCAGTGGAAGGTGTTGAAAGATTCAAGAAGGAAAATTGTGATCTCATAATTGTTGACACCAGTGGGCGCCACAAACAAGAAGCTGCTCTCTTTGAAGAGATGCGTCAAGTATCTGAAGCAACGGTATGTGCAAATATGTTTAGCCGTTTAGGATGTAATTACTATATTAGCATAGTCTCACCTTTACACTGGGTTTTCAGAAACCGGATCTTGCGATATTTGTAATGGATAGCAGTATTGGTCAAGCTGCTTTTGATCAAGCTCAGGCATTCAAACAAAGTGTTGCAGTTGGAGCAGTAATAGTTACTAAAATGGATGGCCACGCAAAGGGAGGTGGTGCTCTTAGTGCGTAAGTTTCATAAGCAGTATGCCAGTAAAATTACAATATATTTGGATAAATATTTTTATTTGAAAACTGTTATTATGGCATTATGAAAATTTAATCTGTTCATGTGCAGAGTTGCTGCAACAAAAAGTCCTGTTATCTTTATTGGTACTGGAGAGCACATGGATGAATTTGAAGTTTTTGATGTTAAGCCATTTGTCAGCCGACTTCTGGGTGTGTATCTCAGAAAATTTCTTTGTTTTGATTGGCTTTTGGCTGTTTCTGATACATCTATAATTGTCCCTTCTTCTGTTAGGCATGGGTGATTGGTCTGGGTTCATGGACAAAATTCATGAGGTTGTTCCTATGGATCAACAGCCTGAGCTTCTCCAAAAGCTCTCTGAGGGGAATTTTACCTTGAGGATTATGTATGAACAATTCCAAAATATACTTAAAATGGGTCCTATTGGCCAGGTTTGCCACTTACCTCTTATATTTGCTGATTGTGTGGGTGGGCATTAGGTCTAAGGTTATTCTATCCATGATTGAACATATTTGTTCCTCCTGCTCGAGCTTTTTCCGTTACATATATTGACATCCACATTTTACTTCACAATAAATCAATAAACAACATGACCAGTATTCCTTACTGCCTTGAACCTTTCATTTTGTGGTTCAGGTGTTCTCTATGCTTCCAGGATTTAGTCAAGAATTAATGCCAAAAGGCCGGGAGAAGGAAAGCCAAGCAAAAATTAAACGTTATATGACAATGATGGATTCGATGACCAATGAAGGTAATTGCGTTACACACTGATGTTTAGTTTGTTGTTATGTATACCATGAAGGTTCAGTCTTATACAACTATAGTCTGTTTTTCTGAATTTTATCACATCATACATATATTGCAGAATTGGACAGTACAAACCCAAAGCTTATGACTGAATCACGCATCATGCGGGTAGCAAGGGGATCTGGCCGTCTGGTGCACGAAGTGATGGAAATGATGGAAGAGTACAAGCGGCTTGCCAAGATATGGAGCAAGATGAAGGGACTTAAAATTCCAAAGAAAGGAGATATGAGCGCCTTATCCCGAAATATGAATGCACAGCACATGAGCAAAGTTCTTCCCCCACAGATGTTGAAACAGATAGGTGGCATGGGTGGCTTACAAAGCTTGATGAAACAAATGGGTTCTTCCAAGGATATGATGGGTATGTTTGGTGGTGGGGATAAGTAAATTCTCACATATTAAACCTGATTGTAGGCCTACAATTCAAGCAAGCCTACCTGGATAAGGAGTACAATTTCTTTCTTTTCCTATTTTCTGTTCCTTAACAGAATTCTCACTACTGTAATTTCTTAGTATACTAGTACTTAGTTTTGTGCCATGTGAATATATGTACCAAGGTGTATGGCTATGGATCAATTTGCAGCTTCTAATTTTTCTACTTTTTCCTGCCTAAGCAGCAACAATGCAATTGTTATAATTGTGGATTCTTGTTCAAAAATTATTTGTTTGCTGTTGACATATTATGCACCTACAGGCTACAGTTAATAGTGTACGTGTCTATAAATAAATTTAAGACACAATGTTAACTGGAGACACATGTATGTTATTTACAAATATATAAACTATTAATTGTAGATACGTAATATGTCAATTACAAATACATAATTCGAAGGTTATTTTGAACCAAGGTCCACAATGCAAGGTAGATTCTGATCCATGGTATTGCAGAGCGGATTTTTGACTCTGATATGCAGGAAATAACATCTTTACTAAAGTACAAGCCTATAACCATTGTCTGTTGGATAAATAACATCATGTCAACATTGTAATGACACTGAATACAATACTCAACGATTTAAAACTATAATAAGTACATAGGAAGAATCAAAGCTCCTTTGATGGTTGATGGGCAATAATAGACAATGTGATCAACTCATGTAATGTTAATTGGATCCAGGGTCAAGAACAGGGAGGCGGCAGTGTAGACTAATGGATTTATCTGTTTGCCGTGAACCTGGGATGAAGAACTGAAAAATCACAGTCAAGCAAGCACTTTGAGGAGAAACTCCATAGAAGGCACAATCAGGCTTAGCCAAGTGACACTGAAGACTCTTAAAGAAATGCTTTACGCTCACGTGCACTGTCATGGCGTCACCCTTCTCAACTGCCATTCTTGTTCGGGATTGAGCTGTCAAGTCTTGGTCCCAGCTTGGAACGGGTGCTTGCTCGCCAATAACCAGGAGCTTCCGAAACTCAGCACCGAGAGTAATCAAAGCCGTGGAAATTTGCAGGTGGAGATCCCCGTATTTGCTTATGGAGACACCCAGCACATCCCCAACATGCTTCATCCTGTCAACAAAGTTCTGCAACTGATTCATGTCCGGGACCTGAACGAGAGTCGGGGGTAAATCTTGAGCTGCATCGAGGGCCGTTTGTAGTTCAAGCACATCGCTCCTCGACAAAGGCTTAGAGATGGGGACATCTTGAATAACAGCAGACTTATAGCCTTTGGTCTCGAAAGTGAGAAAGGGCATAGGTTGTTGGGAATGGGGAGGAAGCTTCTTCACCAGCTTGATTTGAAGGCGGTTAGGGGCATTTCCACCCGGATTGCCAGAGAACTCAGTGTAGATACTGATGATACTGCGAAGAGCACGCTGAAGGAGGGAAAGATCAATGGCAAACGCAATCCGGTCTTCATTTTGGCTGGAGATCCGGTAATCATCAAACAACGCTTCTTTACGAAACTGGGCAATTGAATGGATGCCATCGCCGTTAAGGAGATTGTGAAGGAAAAAAGCATGGTCTCGCGTCAGATAGAGATGGCAGATCTTCCCCATCTTTTCAAGGGCAGGTAGAAACCTCTTCTCTAAGAGGTTCACCCCGTTGTCCGTGAGATACGCCTTGAACTTCATTGGTTTCAAGGATCACTGCTAAATCTTCAGACACAAAATCAGCATACAACTACACCATTAATCACAGTGTGTAAGATCAATGCGCTAAAAACAATTTCACACGTAGAAAAAAGAAGATATAAAAGCTCTGGCATTTCATCAAACAGCTTCGGTGCATTGTGTCAAGCAGGTCAGAAATATTGTGGAAGTTCAAGTTTGTGAAGAATTGGAAGAAATGTGGATACGAAAGTAACTTTAATAAACAATTTTGTTGTGAATCCAAATAAAAATGCATAGGGATAGAGAGTACCAGTTCGACTGTTCGATTAATGCTTGGGGTTTGAAGTTGCAAACGACTGCAGATCTGGCGGGAGATAGGAGAATTTAGGCGGGAGAAACGAAGTGAAATACGGAGTTTTATACCCAACAAAATATTATTTTCTCCTTTTCAAATTTTTTCTTTTTATAACACAAGTTTTCCGCCCCCAAGCTCCACTTTCTGCCACTAAAAGCAAGTTTTTGGTGAATTTTTTTTATGAATTAATGATCATTTTGATCCCTCGACTATGCTGTAATTACTAAATTAATCATCGATTATCAATTTTGATCAATTTAATCCTCAATTATTATTAATTTTGTAATTGATTTGATCCTCCGTCAAACTGATCGAGGACGAATTTAATAATTACAGAGGATAAAATCAGTTACAAAATCAATAATTGATAATTTAATTGGTCAAAATTAATAATCGAAGACCAATTTAGTAATCACAGCATAATCGAGGAACCGAAACGGTCATTAATTTTTATTTTTTTTTAATCTATCAAACCAATGTCATGAGAATTTTTCAATGTATTTCATATACCATTCCATCCGGGTTGATTTGCCAAGCATCAATAACTATGACACACCATTTCAATATAGCGCATGTATATAACTCCTTTATGGCAGACAAAATCAATTGCATGGGGGTATAACGATAGGAAAATGATATATGTACTCCCATGGAGTATAACTCCCGCTACGTGTATAAGTTTTATTGGGTAAATAAAAGTGAATGAATAAAAACAGTGGCCCACTTTGTTATTTAAATCAATCAAAAAATGACACATCAGCAGGGAGTAAAAATTGGAGTAGAAATTGGGAGTTCATGTAGAATAACTCATTAAAATATGGCAAATAGATATGAGAATTGATATACAAGTACATAACTATTCAATGAATAACTACTCCGTACAAAGTAGTACCACTAAACAAGTATTGACAATTCAAGAAATCTCATTTATGATACAACCTATATATCAACTATTATGAAAACTAGTGGGGGTGTGTCACCAGAGAGGCAGAGATGAATGCTCTCCTCTCATTTGTGTTTCTCTTCAATGCTGTGAACTCTACTCAGAGATTCTTCAAACGCTTGTAGTGCAGCCTTGTAATGATCTAAGGAAATCACGCCTTCCTCCACGACTTGGAGCGCGCTTCTGTACAGCTGATTGAACCATTGAACCTGCTCAGTGCCATTGACGGGATTGGAGCCTGGATCGGGAACACACACGCGTTTGTAATCCTTTTTCCACCTTGGTAAGATGTACTTAGACGGGATTTCCTCCACCCCGTTGAAGTTCAGTACGCATAGAGCATGGCGGCACAGATAACCATAGAAATTGAAGCAGCTACAAATGCAACGGACTTCAACTGCTGCTCTGTTGTACAGAACTTCGTAATCGCGAATCTCTCTCCTGTTCCACTCGCCCAAAACACGTTCCTTGACCAAAAATATTATTATTGGCCCATCTACGTGCAACTGTGTTGTACTGAAACAAGAATACATCTCCTCTACCTCTAACTGGAATTTTTTAAATATTTCTCGGGTGTACACTTTGGACAACTGCAGCTCAAAGGAGCATCTTGTCTTCAGTTCATGATTTGAACTTCTTGACTCCATATCTGCAATGGATTCTTCCTTGTGCTTTTTCTGTAAAGCTAGTTCATACTTATCAAGGAACTCTTTAAGAGGAGTTTGTTTGTGGAGATATCTGTCAAAAAAAGCAGTCAGTATTTCTGTGGGTCTTGCAGTGGCCATTCCAGCAAAAAATGTGTCTTTCAGATACACCGGAGCCCATCTGGATCGATCATCATACAATGAATGAAGCCATTCATGATCACCAACCTCAAACCTTTGGATCATAAATCCCCATGCTGCTTCAAAGTCAATTGGCTTCAACGTCTCGTATATGGTTTTGGTGAAGGCCTTTCGGATAGAATCATAGTTTCGCAGACCCCCTAATTTTTCTGGAACTTTTCTCATAATGTGAGATAGATCATAACAATGAACAGACCTCGGAAACATTTCAGCCACTGCACTTTGCAACGTCTTGCATCTGTCTGTAATAATTGTTTGGGGGAGTTGTCCAGATGTACAAGTAAGCCAAGCTTTGAACACCCAAATATACGAGTCCATTGTTTCACCAGCAAGCAATCCACAGCCAAGTAACACTGATTGACCATGATGATTTATACCAACGAGTGCCACAAGAGGGATCTCAAATTTGTTCAACAAATATGTATTATCAAAATAAATCACGTCACTAAAGTAACAACAGGCAGCTCTAGACCTGGCATCAACCCAGAACACATTCCTCAGGTGCCCTTCATCATTCAGATCCATCATGTAAAAGAAATTTGGGTTAGTCAGTTGCATACGGCAGAAGTAATTATACATAGCTTGGGTATCACCTTTTCTTAGGTTCAAGTGACCAGAATAATCAGTTGATCCCCTGGCCTCCCTTGCACCAGAATTTGTGCTCCCATTACCCCCTGTATCAATCACAAGTGCCCGATATAACTTAACTGTTTGTACTTCAGTGTTAGAATTTGCTTCCAACTTTCTCTTGGCTCCGCTACTAATTTTCTTCATAGACTTGTATAGCTTTGCACCTAATACATGATTGTGCTCTAGTGTAACTTCAAGTACCCTCCACCTTTTTGAGTCCACCAATCTCATCCTTATCATAGCAGGACAACCAGTGCGGGTCTCCTTCCTTGACCGGTTTACATCTTTGATTCTTTTGAAGCCCTGGCTGCTGCAACACAGTACTGCCCCATACTTCTCCCCACTATTTCTTTTGAACCATGAGTTTTTCACCCTGACACGAAATCCAGCCTCTCTGGCATAGCAATTATAATAATTATAAGCATCATCATACGACTCAAACTCCATTCCCACAGCAGGTGCAACAAATTCTTTCTGCACTTCAGGAATACCATTTTGGCCATCTAAGCCACAAGACTCTATTTGCTGACCATCAGTATCCTGCAAAATTTCATTGTTTTGTCCAATGATTGCTTGCTTGCTGTCAGGAGAAACTTCTTCCATCTGAAGTACCATTCAATCACCGCCAATAAGCAGTTTATTGCCGTCAAAGAAACATATAATGAAAAAAAAGGACTACATGGAGTCATGGATGTGATTAGTACATTTTTTTCATGCACCAGAGCTTGTTATCAAAGGGGACTCTATTGATTTCACTATTCGAATTTCCTTCAAGTTCTATCAAATGGCTAAAATAAGGGCTCTAGTGGAACTAAAAAACAAAAGATACAAAGAGAGTAATTGCTGAAAGTCAAAACAAACTAGAAGGTCATTGTAGATAGATGTCAGTATAGGCTATGTTTGGTAGAGCTTATAGCTTATTTTAAGCTACAAATAAGCTATAAGCTCTGTTTGGTAAAACATGGAGAGCTTAAAATAATACGGAGTAGTTTATTTCAAAACGCCACCTTAAATAACGTTTCAAAATAAGCTAGTAGCTACAAACTTTTAACCTTTCAACTTTAAGCTTTTGTGGATATGGCAATCAGCCAATATCATCTCATGGATTTTGAAATGCCTAGCTCTTGATTTATAAAATCGAGTGGAGCCACCTAGCCGATTATGACAGACTGCCTGATTCCCTGATCACCTTATGGGGGTCTGCTTCCAAATTCCAATAATTCATTCCATCATACTGTCTGATTTCCACACCTAGAGAATAGGAAGTGTGAAATTCTTCCATAACCTTTAACACACCTAGTTTTATGAGTGATTATCTTGAACGGCTTCAGAATAACCAAAACCTATGTAGCACCAGTCTTTTCTAATCATGCGCTAACAGACTCGAAAGATCACAAGACAACCCAATTTCAGAATTTAAGCTCTGTATCACTCCCAGGGCAAAGACGCAAATCATAGTTCTACACTTTTCGCCAAGATCATTAAAACTTTAGCTAAACATCCAACTCTTTTAATTTCAGAAACCCTAAAACCCGACTAGAACATAGTTCGAAAGTGAAATATATAGTGCTTGAAATACTGCCAATGAAATATGATAGCAACAAGTAAATTATTAAATGGAGGTTGTGTGTTACCGTAAATCGGAGATTCGCCGAAGGATGATCGCCGGTGTAGCACTCCGGCAGAATCTAACTCAGCTCTGCCGATACTTCCTCATGTTTTTCTTCTCATCGGATGTGGACATGTGGTGATAAATCCCTCCATTTCTATTTTTTATTTTTGGGTAAGAAAGGAAACTAAAATGAGAAAGAAAGACCCATAATTTAATAATTGGAGTTATTTTTTTTTAAATGAAAATAAAAAGGTGACTATTTAAATACTTTTACATAAAAAATAGAAAATAAAAAATTGGTCCAACCAAACTCAACTTGTTATACTCTATTTAGGCTATAGTTAGGACATTGCAGTATTGCACACCTAAATAAAAAGCTAACTGAGATTTGCGAGTTGAAAATCTATACTTCGTATTTAATAAGTTAACTGATTAAAATTAAAATGTTTAGTAAAATTAGATATTGAATAAGTTGATAAGGGTAAAAATTCATTAAAAATAAATAAATTTTATCTTAAATAAGAATAAAATTTTACGCCAACTATTATGTAGTGTGACATCCTGATTATCCATTCAAATGAATGGTTATAGGTGGGCTTAAATTCTTGGATTTAGTTCTTTAGGCGAAAAATATTTGAAAAAGTAGAACAGATATTAATATCGTGTAAAAAATGTGTGTGTGTGTTTTTCTTTTTTTAGACAAAAATTCCTAAATAAAACATTATAGTTTAATAAAAATTGGCGGTTTTTATTGGTAGAGAGTAAGGAAGAATATTCAGTATTCAGCATCACTAGAGGCGAGTGGTGTTCGTTAGATTCTGCACTCCGTCCACTCGCTTAAGCCATTGGCCATGGCGTTTTCTTTCCTCTCTCCTTCCACATCTCCTCATGCCTTCTTCGCCTCATCTTCTTCGTCTTCAACCTACTCCACTGCAAATAACATTAAGCTGTTCGCAAAGAGAAGAGCACTAACGTTCGTCGCAAAAGCTTCCGGCAATGATGACGACGAGCCGGCGTTCAACCCTTTCGGCTTCGTCACCGACAATCCGTCAAGCCGGAACGCCATTCAGCTTCCGGAGTCCCCTGCCGAGGACGGAAACGTCGGCCAAATGCTCTACGTAATGCTAAATCATTCCTTTTTACCTTTCCAGAACTGACAGTAGTATTTATTGTGGCTAGAGCAGAGATATTTAAGTAATTGAAGTACTTCGTTTTACTGAACCCTTGTGATATTTGAGTAGAGAATAGAAGATAAGGGAAGAGAGTATGGATCGTATGTGAAATCCGGCGGATTCAGGTGGTTTGTCAGAGAAACCGGTAAGTAATTTCCTTTTATCGCCTTAATTATGTATTCTCTGCTTACCTAATAACCTATCTTATGGGTTTAGCCGTTAGGTTGATTAAACTTACTAATTTGTGGCTTAATTTTCATTAGGTGCTCCAAATAGCCGTATGTCATAATAATCATTCATACAATCAAGAAATTAAAGAGTTTTGGCAATTGCAGGATCGCCTGGAAGCAGGCGCGGAACAATAGTCTTCCTCCACGGCGCTCCAACTCAATCGTACAGCTATCGAGTGGTTATGTCTCAGGTTTCAATGATTGTTTAACTGTTAGTTCTTCTAGACTTTCAGCTTAAGTGAAATTTGGGAAAGGTGGCACCTTGGCTGTGCTCCTGTAGGACCTATACTGTCTTTTACCTTGAGGCTCTGTTAACTCATTCATCTGTTCTCCATTAATCTTATATTTTAATTTGTAATTACATTATCCAGAATAACCGCTATCATTTTCTTTGAATAGATGGCAGATTATGGGTTCCACTGCTTTGCCCCTGACTGGATTGGGTTTGGGTTTAGTGACAAGCCACAGTCAGGATATGGTTTTGACTACACTGGTTTGTTACATCCCACTATGAGCCTCATCATAAATCTGAAAGTGTATTTTGGCAATTTGGCTTTAAAGCAGATTTCTTAAATTATTGCCAAATTATGTTATTGCAGAGAAAGAATTCCATGAACAATTTGATAAGTTACTTGACGTCCTTGGCATTGAATCTCCTTTTTTCCTTGTAGTCCAGGTATGATGTATGAACCATCTGGGGTTTGCAGTTAATTTCTATGCATTGCCCTGATAAAGAACTATCCTTCTGAGACACACCTTAAGAAATGGAAGTTTGACATTTACTCAATACTTATGCTCATAATTTTTGTAAGAGATGTATTGCCTTGAACTATATTTGTGATAATTTTCTTGTAGGGGTTCCTTGTAGGCTCATATGGATTAACTTGGGCCCTAAAAAACCCAAGCAAAATATCAAAGCTTGCGATTCTGAACAGTCCGTTAACACCTTCATCTCCCGTTCCTGGACTCTTTCAACAGCTCAGGTTTCATTTTTGAAATTGATGCTCTTCTTGTATTGACCATCCATGAAGTTCACTCAAGAAATTTAGTGGGTGATCTTCTGGTTTCCTTGATTTTAAATTTGTCTTCTTTCCATTGAGTATCATGCTACTGGGAAATAGTTTTCCTTATGCACTCTGCATTTTGAAAACTCCAAAGAGACAAAAGCATCCTTTTTTAATCTTTACACATGACTTAGCAACTTTTACTCAATTTCTTAATTAATCCAAATAACCACTCAAAAACTAGTATATCTACAAGATCCATAATCAAACACTGTGCATCTGGATGGTATTATAGGCTACAAGATATCATTTGACAATTTGTAAGCCCCCTACCCATTTTCACTTGTGGGAGGGAAAAACTGAAAGAATGTTAAATTTGGTGCTTCCCCAATATTTCCCATAAGCATTTTTAAACATGGTCCACCAATTTTTTAATATTGGAGAGCTGGTTCATTTGGGTTCCTTATTTGATGAATATTCTCCATAACCTTTGGTTTGCCTATAAATACGTGTGTATGTGACCAAAGAAACAAAAAAGTGATTTACAAGTGCCAAGTTAATTATGCTAACATATCCCCTATTGTCTGTTGGTGTCCAAGATGAGTTTGGACTTTGGACAACCCATGTGTGGATCACTGTTTCCCAATTTATGAGTATTTTGATAATTGCAAATTTATTTTGCTAAGCAAATATAGTCAGCATGGGATAACTGTTTATTTTGTACTGAAACTGCTTTGCTCATAATTTGCTAACATTTTTACTCTGTTCCTTCTTCGTCAATTAGAATTCCATTCCTTGGCGAATTTACTTGCCAGAATGCAGTAATGGCTGAGCGCTTCATCGAAGCAGGTAGCGCGTATGTATCAACAGATGCATCTTTAAATACAAAAATTTTCTTGGTTGGGACTGTATACTCTTGTCATTTTGTCAACCTGATAATAATCTTGTATTGTGTATAATTCATGGGAGAAAGAAGTTGTGCGGAAAAAAGCAATGCTTAAAATGTGATCTTTAACTTAATCTAGAAAAGCTATTAATCTTGTGAAAGAGGACATTCTCAATTAGACAATTACCATGAGAATATATTGATATAAGTTTTGTTGTGTCTTAATATCACTGGTTTTGATTATCCTGTTTCATTTCAGTATTTCAATATATATGTATGTATGTATGTTCAAAGGACACTAAACAAATTAATTTGATGGCAGTTATGTCCTAAAACTGGAGAAGGCTGATGTATACAGGTTACCATATTTGTCAAGCAGTGGTCCGGGTTTTGGTACCTCCCATTCTTATTATCACTTTTCCATAAGCTTAACATGTTATAATTATGCATTTGCATGAGTCCACACATCCCAATATAGCTTGTAATTAGATGTTTAGTTAGCACTACTATTTGGCTTGGCATGTTTAATCAATTGCCTCATTGGTCATTTAGCAGTGATTACTAAAGCTGCACATGCTGCGAGTACTTAAGCTCATGATCAAAAAACAGTACTTAATAGGCTACAACATCCCTATTTCTGTCATTTGAATCACATCCTAACTTGAATCAGCATGCAAGACAGCTTTAGAGGTCTTGGAATTTTATTTCTGCAAATTGATAATGCCTAAATGCCATAATCTCCTTCACCCCTTCATAGGGAAAATGCCACTTACATTGAGAGCCTCCACAAAGATGCATGCAAAAATTTAAACCATAAAAGATGTGTTTAGTATTTGAGAGACATTCAAATTAATTACGTATCAATTATACAAGGCTAGATTTCATGATAGGGGTCTTGTGGCCTATACTTCTAAGCATCACATTCAAAATATTGAGAGGATTTAAATTTAGGATTTATGCCAAGAAAGTTGTCTGAACATTGTGGATATTCTATGAAAATTGTTTGTCCAGTTTATTTGGTATTAAGTAGAATTTGAACAATGCATTCTGATACAAATCAGGCAGGAAAGGAAAGTTATCAAATCATTCTAGTGATAGAATTCAAGGAAGCATAGAATAAGGGATTGACTGATTTTATGGAGAGTATAATTAGGGATTGAATAATTATGTAATCAGTAATTGATGCTCCTACCTTATTTTACATATGGTAATAGATTATAAATAGGGACCATCTCTTAGAAGAGGGGGCATCCAGTAGAATTGGAACAATTAGCTCTAAGTAGCTGTGGGCAAGAATTTATTCTTGTTGGAGGGATATTCTTTGAATTCCCTTGTTTTTTCTTTCCTTTGGTTTTACTTTCGATATCATAATCTCCTAGATTTCTTGATCCTGTCTCTTTACTCTTATCACATTCATGCCTATACAATTTTTTGTTTTTAGTTAATGAAGAAAATTTGGTTTTCTTTTTTCTTTTTAAAATAAAAACATTCAATATATTCATCTATTCAAGCTATGCACATGTATATTCATAAATATGGTTGAGGCATTCTTTTTGGACTGATAATAACACTGTGAGTTTCAGCTCTGCTTGATTCGGCAAAGAGAGCTAATTTCAAGGACATCCAGAGCCAGATATCATCTGGCTTTGCCTCTGGAAGGTATTAATGATATTCTCATTATTATAAATAATATAGGAAACCTTCTTTCAATTGAAATGAATATATTTATATTACGATGTTCAAGTTATACTAAATAATGACCATAGTTATCATGGCGTCGCCTAGGCGACGCCTTGGCGTCCTGTCGGTGGAGACAGGACGCCTGGAGGCTTCGCCTCGCCTGAAAATGGTGAGGCGAGCTCCGGCGTCGCCTTTGCATCCTAGACGACGCCAAGGACGCCGATTTGGCGTCCAAACCCATAAACCCTACCCATTTTTAACTTTATCTTTTAAAAAAAAATGGTATGAGAAGAAGAAAGCCAACCCAGTGACCCACAGCCACGGATGACGCCGTCCCACCGCTGTGGGTCGTCATCGGTGCTTCTTTCTTCTCCCACCACTGTCGTCGACTGCCATTCTTGATTTTTTTTCTTCCTTTTCCTTCTTTCTTTCTTCTTGGCTTCTTTGTTCAGACTTATTTACTTTATATTTACTTTATTACTCCTAGAAAGTTGTAGCCTTGAGAAAATGAATAGTTTTCTGCTTCTGTTTTGTAATGAAAGCTACTGCAGCTACAACTTCCTAGAATATAATAAATAAGGCTGCCTATTTCCACTGCCTATTTCCACATATATTATATATAATTCTTCCCAATATATATTCTCATATTATTATTATTATTATTATTATATTCCGTATTTATATAATATATATAATATATCAAATATGCTGGCAGTAATTGTTGTATAATATGAGAATATATATATATATTACTCTTCGCCTAGGCGTCGCCTAAGCGGGCGCCTAGTCGCGTAGGCGACAAGGCGGTCGGGGAGCGCCGCGACTTAAAAGGGCGCCGTGATAACTATGATAATGACTATACTGATATGTTCACTAATTATTCTTGAAATATATGATGCCCATTAATATAGAACACCCAAAAACCCTTGACAAAAACCTGCAAATAATTGGCAATAAACAATACATCCTTCCAATATCAGTCCTTTTGTATGAGGTGGGACACATAAAAAAAAGTATGTCTCTTAAGTAGCTAGGCTAGAATTTATTGGCAAATCAGAGCTCAGAGCTATGTAAATGCTACTAATCCGTTTAGAAAATCTGTCGTGTTTCAGTTGGGATAAGCCAATTCTAGTGGCATGGGGAATATCAGATAAGTATCTTCCACAATCAGTGGCTGAAGAGTTTCAAAAGGGAAACCCTGACTCAGTTAAGCTTAAACTGATTGAAGGTGCAGGCCACATGCCGCAAGAAGACTGGTAATTCACTTCAGTTTCTTTTTTTGTATGTATTGACTCTGTTATGTTCGTAAACTATAACAGCAAGTTATGTATATGCAGGCCCGAAAAAGTAGTTGATGCCTTGAGAGTCTTTTTATGATCTTGGCATATGGTTTCCCAGCATGAATTCTCATACCAATTTCAAGTGTTTGTTCCATGTGAAGAATTATATATGCATTATTGGTAAGTTAAACATCACTGTTTGATAAAATACATACTCAGCTTGTACATCCTTACCAGAAAAAATCTCAGTTTCATGTGAGTATTGTAAAATATTGCCAACTACTGCAGAAATGTTAGTTTCTAGTTTCAACAGAATGCAGAAAGTTTTGGCCTTTATGTGCCTAAACATGCTGAGATATGCAAGTTATTTTAATACTCTTCTGGGGAAATTTATTTAAATTAAAATTATCCAAAAAGTCATATGGAACCATCTTATTTCTGCAACACAATTCAGTTTGCTCAATTGATTTGTTCATTTGTTGCATGAACAACTCCTGCATGGAACAATCCACAGAATTGATGCAGGTAACTATTTACTGAAGGATTTAACTGGCAATCGTAAATAACAAAGTGAACAGTTATTATTATTATTATTCATATGGAACACAAATACCAGTATTTTCAGGAACAGAGTTAATTTCACCTTTGATCCATCAAATATCGTTACAAGTTCAGACCGAATTTTTGACTCTCAATTTTGACACATTTATACTTTTGAAATGTTCCACATTCGATTAAAAATATCCAAACCGCCATAAAGTTTGGTTAAATGTCTGCAAAGCGAGGACATTTTTCGCTGAATGTGAAACAATACTCAATGTGTCAAAATCGAAAGTTAAAAACTAGTTCTGTTATTGCTACTATATATATAGTCAAAGACCAACGGTTATCTTGAGGTAATGGGAGAACATTGTAACTGATATAAACAAGAATGTATAGGTACTGAAAGGAAAGAAGAGAATTCAGTTACAAAGATAGATCAGCCAAGTCGAAAGTTCTTGAAACAGCTTTGCACCAAGAATCCACCTTCTTCTTCCTCACTTCTTCCTCGATCACTGGTTTGAAAATGGTGTCCTTCTTCATTTTCTCACCGCTGGAAAATATTTCGTCTTCTGTCCATATCCCAACAGCTAATCCAGCAGCATATGCTGCCCCGAGGGCTGTTGTCTCTATGTCCGCTGGCCTCACCACTGGACTACCCAACAAATCCGCCTGCAAAATCATTAAAAAAAATTATGAAACACCAAAACAACAGAGTTTGTTTTCGGCAACATGTGAAAAAAAAAGTTTAGAACAAGTGAATGTCAAAGGTTGAATACCTGAATCTGCATCAGAAGATTGTTAACAGTAGCACCACCATCAACTCTAAGAACGAATTCCCCTCGATCATTTTTAACCTCACCTTTATCCCCAGCGTCCTTGTGCATTGAATCCAGCACATCTCGAACTTGAAAACACATGCTCTCAAGAACCGCTCGAGCAATGTGACACTTGTTAGTAAACCTCGTGATTCCAATACAAACTCCCCGAGCATCATCCCGCCACCACGGAGCAAACAACCCATTAAAAGCTGGCACAAAATAAACTCCCCCGGTTGATTCCACCTTCGACGCCAGCTGCTCAATCTCACTTGCGCTGCTGATTAAGTTGAGACTATCCCTGAGCCACTGAACAGCAGCACCAGCAATGGCAATCGAGCCCTCCAAAGCGTAATTGGCCGGAGCTTTTGGCCCCAGCTTATAAGCTAAAGTGCTCAAAAGCCCGTGAGTCGACTTAATTGTCTTCTCACCTGTGTTAAGAAGTATGAACGCCCCAGTTCCATACGTGCTTTTCGCTTCACCTTTTCGGCAAGCTTGCCCAACCATTGCTGCATGCTGATCTCCAAGACATCCCGATATTGGAATACCCGTAATCGGCCATCCCTGAGCAATGTTTCCTATAATCTCAGAGTTACTCACAATTTTTGGTAAAATCTCCGCAGGAATTCCCAATAACTCCAGCGTTGGCTTATCCCAATCCAGAGTTTTAAGATTCATCAACATAGTCCTCGACGCATTAGACACATCAGTGACGTGTAAACCTTTCCCCACCCCTCCCGTCATGTTCCATATCAGCCAGGTGTCAATAGTTCCAAACAGCGCATCCCCGTTCTTCACTGCTTCCTTAACAGCCTCCACATTCTCCAACAACCACAACAGCTTCATTGCACTAAAGTAAGTGCTTATCGGCAAACCACATGTCTCAACAAAATGAGTTCTCCCGCCTGGTAATTCTTTCTCCAACTTTCTGAGCAGTTAACAAGTTTTACTCAATCACAAGTTCAGAAGAATGACAAGCAAGAATGTAATGTCACCCAGTTCAGAATTATACTAAAGCAATGCTACATGGTACATAATGGCCCTATATGATAAAATAGTTAGCCTATCAGCCAATTTTGGCTTATTTGACCACCATTAGCTTTTTGACTTGGTATATGAGTGTTTTGATTAATTAGCTTTTTGTAACAACTTATTGCTCCAAAATGCTAAAATTCAAAAAGCTACCCAAAGTAGCTTTTTCAATCAGCTTTTTGAGAAGTCATTTTGTATGTAATCAGCTAATAGCTAACAACTAATTTACCAAACACTTTTCTACAATCAACTAATACTATCAACTAATTAAACCTACTAACCCAATCAACTAACAGCTATCAAATAACAATCATTTACCAAACACTCCCAATATGTTTGAAACTATAAATATGTGTGAACACAGACATAAAACCAGATAAGATTTAGTCCCTTAACAATCAAAAACTCCCAAAAACTAACTTGATACTTATAAACATCACTTGGGGATCTATCAGAATTAGAACCAAAACTCCCTTCATGGGTTTATTTGGGGAAAGAATTGGGTTTTGAATTCAGAAATTGCAACAATATATATGAAACAGGAAAAAAGAAGACCTGCAGATGGAGGTAGTGCGAGCGTCCATCCAAACAATAGCGTTGTAGAGAGGAAGCCCTGAGGATTTGCTCCAAACCACAGTGGTCTCTCTCTGGTTGGTGATACCAATGGCTTTGAGTAAGCGGCCGACGTTGTGGCCATCGGCGGTGGCCTTGTCGACTGCCTTGGAAACACAGACCTTCACACTCTCCAGAATCTCCACCGGATCATGCTCCACCCATCTATTATACCCAGATAATAATCATTACAAAAAAAGAAGAAAAATTGAATCTTGAAATGGGAAATTGAAGAAAACCCACCCGGCCTGGGGGTAGAACTGGGTGAACTCGATCTGGTGCGATACAACAGGTCGGGCGGAACGGTCGTAGATGATGAAGCGGGTGCTGGTTGTGCCTTGATCAATGGAGCCGACGAACACTTGTTCTTCCTTAGACATTTTTCTTTCTCCTTCTTCTCTGGTGTGGATACAATTCGCGCTCTGGCGATGAGTCTAAGGTTGCAACGAGGGAGTGTCGTGTTGACTTATATGCTTTGAAAATTGAAATCCCAATTCTTGGAATCTTTAGAAAATGCAGTTGGGTAGTTAATCCAATCACGGACATTTGGGCATACACTTCTAAATACTTAAAATTGTAATACATACATTATACTAAAATGGGGAAAAGTCTCCAACTTTACCTCATAAATCAATTACACCTTCAAACTTTTTAAAGTTACAATTAGGTACATAAACGTGTTAATTTAGTTCATCAAGACTTACTTATTAGTGACTTGTAATATCAGGTCTCTAAAATTTCAGCGATTGTCCGGCAATAAAAATTGACGACAGAGACTAAGGCGTCGTCGGAGAAGGCGTAGCCATCTCTGACGATTGGAGATGGCGACCAAACTGATCGCCATCTCCTAAGGACGGAAAAAGCGACCAATATTGTTGCCTTCAAAAAGATGGAACATCTTAAAGCAACAACGAAGACTAGACTTATATATAAATTAACTGAGACCATGTCATACCGGTATTCTCCGCCTATAAAAGTTTATGCATAGCAATTGGTGGATATGCCAAAACCCCAATGCCCCTATTATTAATGAGAGAAAACAACACAAGCTAATCATTCACTTTTTTTTTTTTTTTTTTTTTTTTTTTGTCATTTGAATGACTAAAATAGTCACTTATAAAAGATATTACACTTTTTGTTCTTAATATATTTCTAAAGGATGAAGGCAATCAATTTTATGACTAATTAAAGATTGTATTCATATACTACGATGTAATAAAGTTATTAGTAACACTAGTTTTTTTACGCGCTTTGCGCGAATAGGATAATGCCCAATGATTATTTTTAAATAAGTATTTCAAAGTATATCAACGCAATATTATATCGGAGATGTTCATGCATATGTAAATAAATATTGAATTTGTTTATTTAAATCGGTAATTCAAAATATATAAATGCAAGATAATATTTATTGAATTTTCTAATCTATATTTGGTAGTGGTAGTTTTCCCCTACATGTTTCATGCATTGTGAGATGTGTGTCGTAGGTTATCATGTGAAAGTATTGAACAAAATATTAATATTTATTATATTTGTATAAAATACTTGGTAAATAAATATATATAATGTATTTTGTATTATAATTTTGATATTTAATTACAAGATAATGTAAAAAGAAGACAATGGACAATGCAGTGAATATAATAAATTTGAAGGTAATGAATCTTTGAATTGTAGAAAATAAAGATAATATAACTAATGAAATTATATCTATTTTTAAAATTTTTTATAATGAATAATTTTTTTTTAAAATAAAGGCATTATAGACATCTAATTCTAAATTAATTAAATGCATATGTATTATTTTTTGTTGTATCTACTACTTTATTTAGTTTAAGAGCAATAAAGTGGGCAAATTATGCTATGGAACCGTGTCCACCTTGCAAGGTGGACATGCATATCAGAGATGTTCATGCATATGTAAATAAATATTGATTTTTTTTTATTTAAATCGGTAATTCAAAATATATAAATACAAGATAATATTTAATTTATTGAATTTTTTAATTGATATTTGGTAGTGGTAGTTTTTCCCTACATGTTTCATGCATTGTGAGATGTGTGTCGTAGGTTATCATGTGAAAGTATTGAACAAAATATTAATATTTATTATATTTGTATAAAATACTTGGTAAATAAATATATATAATGTATTTTGTATTATAACTTTGATATTTAATAATTACAAGATAATGTAGAAAGAAGACAATGGACAATGCAGTGAATATAATAAATTGATAAATTTGAAGGTAATGAATATTTGAATTGTAGAAAATAAAGATAATATAACTAATGAAATTATATCTATTTTTAAAATTTTTTATAATGAATAATTTTTTTTTTTTAAATAAAGGCATTATAGACATCTAATTCTAAATTAATTAAATGCATATGTATTATTTTTTGTTGTAGCTACTACTTTATTTAGTTTAATAAGAGTAATAAAGTGGCGTATATACTTTTCATCAACAATAATGCAATCATTGGTTTTTTTAAAAAAATAAATACATACAAAAATATTAATGCAAAAGTATAATTGAAATATTAAGTTTTTTTTCTGATCTAAATAATCAAAAGAATATTAAGTTTTTTTTCTGATCAAATGATTTTTAAAGTTCTTGATTTATAATCTTTGATGCTTAACTTTGAATGTTATGTATTTAGTCAGAGTAATTATTTGAACAAAGTTTATGTTAAATTTTATATTATATATATTTTAAATATATTTTAACATATTCGTAGTATATGTTTAACAATTATGCCAACTCTAATTGGGATGTGGTTCGAAACTAAGACTTTTCTTATAGAAATTAATGTGTAAGTTAAAATAATAAATACTTAACGGAATATTCCGTTACTAAAGTTTATGCTAACGGAATTTAGGTTATTTAAGGGAAGAAAATAATATAATAGAGGGTAAATAAGGAAAATCAATATAAAATACTAAAATAAAAATAATATAAACCATTCATTTTAAGAAACAATAGTATAATATGAACCATTTATTTTAAGAAACAATAGGACCGACATATTTTTTTTCCAGTTAAGGGCCTAACATTATTGGCTCTTATTAGAATTGTAGATTTAGAAAAGAAAAAAAAATTAATTTATAACTTTTAGTAATTAATAAATTGAACTTACATGTGTTATATAACTTAAATATCAAATATTGTCATATAAAGAAATAAATATTAAAAAATAAACTTTAAAAAGATAAGGATGTAATATTACTTATCATTAAAAGTTAATTTTGTAAAGAATATCTACCAATTAAACAATTATCGTTAATACTTAATGCAATCCCATATACTTGCCTGAGTTGTCACCTTGATTTTAGGGGACGAAAAATAAATTTATCCGAAATGGGAACATGGAACAACCGAACAAGTAGGATGAGTTGGACTTTTCACAAGAAAACTGGATTTTTATTTTTTTATTCTTTTTTTGGTGATAACTTATGAAGTAGTCTTCGATCTCATCCAAACTATACTCTGAAAAGGATGGGCGTTGCTCCCTATGTTCATTAGTCCGCCGAATATCTGGTTGCCTGCCAACTGCCAAGTGCCAAACCATGTTAATAATGCTCAGGCTCGCATGGATAGCTCAACTGGTCATAGAGGTGAAACTTTAGAAGAATTATCAGGGATCGAGTCTCACCAGCGGCAGTGTGGGAGTAACCTCTTAAAGTGAGCACCGGTCTAGCATGATTTACATCCTCTCAAATGCTTTGTCAGGCCGGGTTGGGGATCTTCCTTTTGGAAGAATGTTAATAATGGACAAATTTCTTGTATCCATCAATATTTGATCGTGTGTGCTGAGTCATTGAGTCACCGTAATTTATATCCCTTCAAATATTAGGTAACCCATGCCACTAGAACCCAAAGTGCCCAAGTTACATTTTTCTTTCTCTAGTTTTAGTGCCCTTTTCCCCTTTGTCTTCTTGACCAAATTAAAGCAAGCCACCATTGATGGCTTTCCAGAAGTTCAATAATCTTGAACATGAAACCTCATGGGTGTTCACATAAAAATCTTGTGTTCTATTTATCGTCTCGTCAATTTTATCGCTATTCAGTACATTACTTGTGATGCACAAATTTAGCCTGAGCACGAGTGCTTAATTAATGCACCCTTGAGTCTTAAACTCATCATATCTATTTAATCTAAAAAGTTGAAAATGATGATTGAGTTTAATCTAGGAGAAGGTAAATATATGCGCACACACATGCATATATAATATTGTACATACAAATGTAAATTATTAGGACATTAAGCAGTATAAAGAGCTAATAAGGATGAATATTATATTAAGTGAGCTTAGCTTATTATTCTAGACATGTGCTATATGAAGCAATGGTCTCATAGCCCTCCCACTTTGGTAATTTTCCCAGTGAATATCTGCATAGTCTTTCACATTCTTGTATACTCTTTGGCTTTCCTCATTATTAAGTAGCCCTTCTTCTGGTCCAATTTCTTTTCCCATTTCAGGTGTGTAAAATACTGCTATAGATATTCTGTCCCTCTTTGAACTACTCAAAACCCTATGCACTGGGCTCTTCAATATCCCATTACTCATTATCTGCAATAAAAAATCCTATGTGGTTTAGGTAAGAAACTAAGTTAAATTATGCGATGGTGCAATATTCATTTTTAGTATACTGAATGGTCGTTTTTAATGGATTGAAAGTTTTTAATGGTATAATGATTGCGAAACCAAAATTAAAGCCCAAGTTTTCACTGTGGGAAATTATGAAATTTCCGACCATCAGAAAGTGATCTTAAATCAAGTTGAAAGCAAAAAGTGGTCGGAAATAGCAACAAAGATTTTTTCGAATACCAAAAGTGGTCGGAATAAAGCTTTCGAGACTTGATTTAAGATCACTTTCAGGTGGTCGGAAATTCCATAATTTCCAGTAGTGTTTATTAGTTGTTTTTACTTACCTCCATTTGATCAGCCATGAGAATGAGGAGGGCATGGGGGTTTTTAGGAACAGTGAACCATTTGTGATCCTTGAGAACTTGGAGGCCTATTTCATCTTGAATGATTATGGTGTAGCCTGACCCATCTGAATGGGGCTTCAGTCCAAGAACAAGATCTGGCCTTTCACATGGGGAATAATAGTTGAACCTTGCATCCAGTTGTGATCTTTCACCAAACTGTTTCAGGAAGCAATTTTCTTCCAAATTTAGTGATTTTGCCATGGCTTTTGACACCATTTCTGTCACCATTTTCATCTTCTCTATGTACTCTTCCAACACTTCTCTGCATGCATGGAACATATATATAATGTGATGTTTGGTAAATTGTTGTTAGCTGATAACTGTTAGCTGATTGGATTAGTGTGTTAGTTTAATTAGTTGATAGTATTAGCTGATTGTAGAAAAATATTTGGTAAATTAGCTGTTAGCTGATAGCTGATTACATACAGAATGACTTTCTAAAAAAGCTGATCAAAAAAACTATTTTGAGCAACTTTTTAAATTTTAGCATTTTGGAGCAATAAGTTGTTACAAAAACTAATTAATCAAACACATATTAATTGCTGAACCAAGTTAAACAACTAATAATGATTAAATAAATCAAAATTAACTAGGCTAATTATTTTACCAAACAGACTAATAACTAATTTACCTCCAATTCTACAAATAAATAACTTAGAATAAGTAATTAATTACCTGAAAGAGTTGGGATATTTTGGCCATAAATTATAATTTCTTCTATCTTCAGGATAACCATTGAGAAAGAGACGATCGGACCAATCAAGAGACTGCCCATCTTGAGGAACAGGATCACCTCCATAACCTTCAAAATCTCTTACACCTTTGGCATACTTCATCTTCTCTTCCATTGGTTGTTCAAAGAACTCCCTTGAAATTTGCAGTATCTTATCCAGAAAAGAAGTAGAAATCCCATGTCCAATTGCCTAAAAATACAACAAATAATTCTAAATTATATTTTGAGATATATAACTTAACAAACAGAAACTTATTTATCAACTACCTCTCAACAAACAGCTAATATTACCCTTGATTAAGGCCCTATAACATAATTAGCTTATCAGTCAATTTTGATTTATTTGACTATTATTAGTGATTTGATTTGGTTAAATAACTAATATAAGTGTTTGATTAATTAACTTTTTTTATAACAGCTTATTATTTCAAAACGTTAAAATTCAAAAAGCTACTTAAAAAGTTAAAAGTAATTTTTTCGATCAATTTTTTGAGAAATTCATTTTGCATATAATCTATTATTAGCTAACAACTAATTTACTAAACATTTTTCTACAATCCACTAATATTATCAACTAATCCCTATTAACTCAATCAATTAAGTTATTTACCAAACACCGCTTAAAATTGTTAACACAATTAGCTAACAGTTATCTGCTAATCGTCAAATACTCATATAACAGTGGTGTTTTACTCTTGAGTTGCAGAGATCAAACCTGAAAACAACCCCATGAAGAGAGGGCTGATCTGAGTTTGTGTAGTTCTGTGACATAACTACTCTCTTGGTGGTTGTGCAAAAAACAGCTTAAATCAATGGTGGGAATGGTAGATTTAGCCTTGCAGGTGTCATGGTCATCTTCTTCTTCTTCTTCCCCAACTGATCTGCAAATATATGGCCCTGATGGCTCCTCACCATTGATGACCATTTCTTGGACCCTTTTTGAGAGCAACACATCTGCAGCCATCTCTGAAAATCTATCCATGCTACTCTACTCGATCTTCAAATATCTTTTTCTTTCTTAAATCCAGATGTCTTGATGATCTTGTGCATCTATACTCCAGCTTGAGTACAAGCAGTCCAAATCGCTATTCCATTATAAATTTTGGAGTACCTCGTTTGTTCCCTTTTATTTGTCTATTTTTATTGACTTAAATTCATTAGTCTCTTCAGAAGTTACTTTTTGGGATGATTTTTTTTTTCTGTACCAAGTAGAGAATAGAATAGAGTGCGATTGGAGAAGATGAAAAATGAGTGAATAAAAAAAAGGAGATATGCCAAGACCTTGTGGTTTAATGTCACTCGGATTGAACTTTCATATAAGAGGTTATGAGCTCGAGTTTTAGTGAAGACATTATTGATTTTTTGTGCTTCAGTGGATTGAGAGGGTAGTTATAAACATATATTACATTATATTAGAGTCAGTAGCATTAAAAAAAAAAAAAAAAAAAAAAAAAAAGATAATATCTTTTTTTTAAAAGAGAGATAAAAAACATTCTGTAAAAAAAAAAATTAAAATTAAAAGTCACATTTAGGTTGGGTGAGTGACTGTGCACTCTTATCCTTTAAAAGATTTAAAAGAAGTTAGATGTTCAAGCCCCCTCTCATATGAAAATATAAATCTCTCTTGCTTTTTAAAAGAGGTCGGAAGTTCGAGGGGTTAGTTTTAAAAAATAAATCTCTTTTATATCCCTTAAAAGGGGTTGAAAGTTCGAGGGGTTGGTTTTAATTCAGCAAAATAATTTTTCCTGCCAAATCAAGTTTTTGGCAAGGAAAAAAATAGAGAAGAGCGCCGAATGCACGTTAGGCGCACTTCGCGCTCGCTGGGGCGCGTGAGAGTAGTCCCCAGCTGGCGATCATTCTGACTTTTGAACAACTTTTTTTTTAAATGTCAAATTTTGTTTTTTTTCACAGTTTTCTTGTTTCTTAATCACATTTATAAAAACTCTTCAAAAATCACAATAAAAATAAATTAGTAAAGATGTTCTAATTGGTCTTGGAAGAGATAATAAACGAGGAGAGAGAATATAAAGTTAATATAGGAAAATAGTAATATTATAATTTTTATTTAAGAATACAATACGCGTCTTTACAAAAAAAGACACTACTTTTTTTTTCCTTACATAAGTTACATTACACATTTTTATTTGTAACTAAAGAAGCTTAAAAAATACGGAGTACATTACATTACACATTTTTATTTTTTTTCTTTACATTACACATTTGTAGTAGAACTCCATTTTTTATTCACTCTATCTTTATTATCTTCCCAAGACCATTTGCTTTCCCCATACACTTTACTCTATCTTATCTATTATCTCATCAGAGATTCAGTGCTTTCTAGCTCTTTCTTTCCCCCATGGAGTTCTTTGTTTTTTTTTTTCTCTATTACTCACAACCCCACATCTATATGATCACAAGCACACCAAGTTGCAAGTGGCTAAGGATGAGAATAAGCAAGACTCCTTTGTAGGCGTCTATAATATGATCTAATTAAGGTCTAGTTAGACTTAGTTTGTTTAATAAAAAAAATTACATTTATTTCAAAGTATATTAAATTAAACAGACTAAGCATATATATACGAGGCCTGACCTTTAAACTTATAGGCTTGGCCTAATATATTTTTATATTTACAATATAACCCAAGTATATATAATTACGTAACAAGTCCTAACCCTCCACTCTCAAAATTTTATTTTAAATTTTGATTCAACTATAAACATTGCTGTTAATCATGTTATAAGTGTTCTTATTGTTAATTTGTTTGCTAATTATTCTTACTGTTATATTTCATCTGTCCCATTTTATCTGTCATACATACTATTTATTGGTAAATCAACACTTTCATCTTTGCTTATTTTCTTTAATATTTTTACTTATTTTTAAAATTGATTTTTTCTGTTCAATAGTACTTTTAGTGTAGTTTCTAAATATATAAATTTTGTACATTAATACTAAACTTAATATTATGAAAATTGGATTAAATATAACTTCAGTCAAGCGTTGTTAACCGAACCAGACACATGAAATAGAACGGAGGGAGTAATATGTAATGAAGTGTCACGACTTAATTATGTGAGTTGATTGTTAACTATTTATGAAATTATATAGGATGTCAAACAATAACACAATTGAATTTATTCTTAAACAAGTTAACAAGCATGTTGAAGTCTTGACTTGTTTTATTTTATTTTATATTTTAATGCTTTTATGTTTGCATTGTGGTTATACTTGTGTAGTTACTTATTAGGTATATTTCTTAAATTATTAAGAAATAATTAGTAAAGTGCTTTAAAAGACTTAACGACAATTATGTCATGGACCCGGGGCCACCTTGTAAGGTGAATTCGGGTAAAAAATACACAATTTAGATACTGAATATTCACAATTCAAATTGTGTACATTCAATATGTAAATTATGAACCTTTAGTATATAACAATTGTGAACATTCAGTATATAAATTGTTTATTTTTTTACCCAAGTCCACATTGCATTGCAAGGTGGACCTGGTCCACATAATAATTTGCCTTGACCTAATAAGTATACTTTAAATACTCTCAAAACATGACATACTTTGAAGCCTTTTTAATGGCCTACATACTAAACATGCTTTTTAAAAAGCTTAAGTCAAGCTAATTGTATGCTCAAGCTTAAGCCTAACAAAAAACCTATATATTGGCTTAGGCATAGGCCCAAGTCTTAAATTTTTTAAATAGATCCAGACCTAATTTTCTAAAGTTCAACTTAGCTTAACCTATTTCCATCTCTACAAGTGGCGGTGACGGTGGCGAATGTTGTCATAGTTGTTGTCTTCATTGCTCATCGGAGATTGTGACAGTGGCGGAGGCCTTGACGATGGTTGTTTTCATTACTCAATGGCAGAGGTCGATCTCCTTTCTCTCTCTCTAAAATATGTTATTCCCACCGTCCGATTTTATGTGACTGGTTTGGTTAACGAGGCTTGACTAAAATTATTTTTAAAATTTTAATTTTTCATAATATTAAGATTAGTATTAGTATATAAAATTTATATATTTAGAAAATACACTAAAAGTACTATTAAACACACACAAAAATCAAATTTAAAAATAAGTAAAAAATACAAAGGAAAATAAACAAATAAGAAATAGTTGGTTTGACTAATAAAATGAGACAGATAGAGTATTCTCCTTATATAGCTTCTTTTAATAAAAATGATAATTTCACAATTTTTTTATTTTATTATAAGGAAGGGGATACCCTATATACACACTACTTGCCTCAAATGAGGTTCGAACCTTTCACCTCCCACTTAGGGGAGTAATCAGATACCAGTAGACCACAATCCTTCTGAAAAAACTCCTAGAAACGACACAGTGAAACATATTTAGAGAGAAGCCAAATTAACACAATAACACCACATTTGATTCACAGAATATGCCTGAAATGGAATGGCGTTCCCACAATCATTATTGTGTGAACAACGGTCCAAACACATATAAAGTATATTATTCTAACTCATAAACTAAATTATTCTAATACATAAAGTACATTATTCTAACACATAGAGCATGTTTGGTTATTGGCGGATCCGTCAAAATTTTGGCGGATCCACCAACTTTGACGTTTTGACCATGGTCAAAACGCTAAAGCCATTGTTTGGTAAACAGTGGTTTAGAGCAGCGGATTGCTCCAAATCGGTGAAATGCAACATGTTGCAAATGTAAGATTTTCTCTAATAATATATATTATATATTATATATTAGAGCCTTAATTAAGTAGTGCAAGTTGACTAGGTTTATTAAGTAGTCTGGTTAGACTGAATAACTAGAAGTTGTTAGTCAATCAGACTCTATGCCTAATATAAACCTGGATTGATGGGATACAGGTTTATGGATTAGATAGCACATTCAGTTACGATACTCAGATTGCTCAATAGATACTAATACACCATCTAGGGTTTGTCTAGTCTGAGACAAAACATGGCTAACGGTCTACCGTTAAGAGGCAACACTACAGGAACATCAAATGTGGCTGGAGATCAACACGGTTACGCTTCTGCTACTACGAGGTTAGGTTTCTCGTAGATTATACTCTGTATGGTTAGACTATATTTAGATCTAACATTTGGTGAACCATACAGTTTACTGGTGTATACCATACAGTTTTAGGTTCATACCCCCAAACAGTTATACATTAAGTATATATGAATCAGGGAGACATACTATTTTTTAATGGGCCATGACTTAAAACATCTTGTGCCACTAGTCTCCTTAAATTGATACTTTATTTAAGGAATTGGTTTTCAGTGAGACCTAGTCTCTAACCACCTTAGAGTATATTTAGATTTTCCCATCACAATCTGGTATAATCTATTTGTCAAAATTTGATTAGCAGCGTGTTGGGTCAGCATTTTGGGGAAGGAAAATTCCTTCCCCAAAACACCCTCAAATATTATAAGAAAAAAAAAATATTTACATTGTGTTTTGAAGCCTCAGGCTTCTTGCCCATCCGATGTGAAATAGGCAAGAGGCGAATTAATCTAAAGGGGCCTTGAGCTCCCTTTTATAAGGGAGCCAACGCCTTTTGTATTTATTTATTTATTTATTTCGATGTGGGATTACTGGGATTCGAATCCCACATCTTCTTTGTTTTTTTGTTTTTTATTATTATTATTATTATTATTATTATTATTATTATTATTATTATTATTATTATTATTATGTGTATACCCTTTTGGTCATTTTAAATGTTAACCGCTAATTTAAATCGTTAATTTTATCAAACATCTTTTTACAAATCGCTAATACAATCAAACCCGCTAACACAATCCGTTATTTGTTAACCGTTAATACAATCTGCTACCGCTAACCGCTAATTGCCAAACAAGCCTATAATGTACATTATTCTAACAATCTAACTCATAAAATACATTATCTTACCCAAGAAATATCATTATTCTAATACATAAAATACATTATTCTAACTTATAAAATACATTATCTTACTCTAGAATATTCATTATTCTAACACGTGCGCAGAGCAAGAAATTTTTTTAACATCAAAACGACGTCATTTTGGATCGTGGTTCACACAACTATGTGAACCACGGTCTACACAATAATTTACCGCGTTCTCAAGAATAGGCCTATTCGTTAATGCTTTTTATTCCTGTGAATATTGTTTCAGGGA